ATTGTGTCTTATCTTTCTCCTTGCTATGTAACTCGCACGAAACTACACCACAAATTAATCCCGACTAGAGACCAAGTTTTTAAACTCTAGTCGGGTGCAGTATAGAGCAAGTATTTAAATTGTCAACCCGGGCTGGTCCATGTACCCCTACTTCAACCGCTTAAGTTGTTATCTAGCAAAACGGTTTTGGGTTTTAAAACTAATAAAACTACAAACTAAACAAGCAAGGAAAAGTAAATAAAGGAAAATTCTAACGAAGGGAGCTTCACCCGGGAGTTGCTTCCCCCTAACTAGCTACCATGGCTTGTTGGATTGAATGGAGTCGTGTGGCGTAGGTGGTTGTGAACCGTGGGGGTGAGCAACTAGTGATCAATTTGTCACGGAATCAATTCACTAGCGATCGATTCGTCACGGGAACGATCAACTCACCAAGTCTAGGGGACCCGCTAGGAGGAGCAACTAGTGATCCATTTGTCACGGGATGGATTCACTAGAGATTGATTTGTCACGGAATCGATCCTCTCACTCAGTCTCTAGTGGTTGCCTAGGTCTCTCCCCCAAACCGGAGTTTGAGCAGCTTAATCACAACCAACCTAGATGCAAACTTGAGTCAAGGGGGGATGCTCATCTCTAACCTAGATAGTGGGCAAAAATTTCCCAGGAAAACCAAGCTTGTCAAGCCTACCTAAAAGGTGTGGTTGTCCTCTAATCTAGGTTAAGCAAGCACACAAGATTTGGAAAGCACAACTAAGCACAATCACCATGAAAACACCTCTAATACTCAAGTTGATGGAAACCCATACAAAATCATTCAATCAAAGAAAGTAATAAAAAGTATTAGTTAGGGATCTACAACACCCAAGAGAAAAGAGTGAGTTTCTAGAGAGAGAGAGGGATTACAAATTTGAGCTCAAGATCTTCTTCTTCTTCTAGGCTTGAATCCTTGTCTTCAAGATCCACCCAAGCCTCCAATGATGCTCCAAGATCACTTAGCACTCTCTCTCTATCACTAGAACTCCCCTTTGGTGTTTTTGGGCAAACCCTAGAGAGGGAATTGAATTTCTCTCCAAAAACCAGCTCTCCCTTTCTCTCTCCCTGCTGCTGTCTTTATATTTGCCCAAAAGTGATTAGTTCACGGACGTGTTGGCCAGTTCGTGGCCGTGAACACCTAAACGCATCCATGAACTCTGTGTCGTCCAAAACGCGTCGCTTCACTCTCCTGGGTTCACGGTCAATGGCCCCAGCTCACGGTTTTAGAGACCGTAAACTGCCTTGTCGTCAGTAACTTTTGGAACCTCGCTGGACACCTCGGTGTTCATGGTTTGTAGTCCAAGTTCACGGTCTTGGGAGACTGTGAACTGCCTTGTCCGACCGTGAACTGTGGCTGTTTCCTGGAGCCTTCACTTCACTGTTATGCGCTTTAGAATTTTCTTTGGTTTTTGCGCTTTTTGACCTCTAATTGTCCCAAAACTCGTCCTCGACCCTTCCACACGTCTAGGACCTGAAATGTATCAAAACAAGCACAAACTAGTGTAAAATATGTCGAGGAACGATGCATTATACTTAGCTAAACAAATAATAAATGAGGTGTAAAATGTGTACATTTGGGCCCGAATCACTATGCCAGTTGATTGTGTGAACTATGGCTTTTGGATCTTTGATTCATGTATTATCGATGACTCTCCTTCTGTTGTGGACTCATGTATCATAAAAAAGTGGCCAGTGTGTTTTATGAAAATAAGTTGGTCCTCCATGTCAAAAATTTGAAGCATGGGGTAAGCCTAACATGTGTGGCACAGTTCATTGCAGAAATCGGGTTCTGGAAGAGATTTTAGTGATCATTAGTGGGGTACTCCTACAAGGTGAAGCTTAGCCGTCTCTAATACGAGTAAAAATTCCACCCATAGAATAGACTGCCTACTCGAGGATGTGTTTTTAAGGGAACATATAGATCTTCCAATCCCACTTAATTTCATTGACCCTCCGCACGAATTGAGGAAAAGGAGTTAAGAAAGTACTCTGGCGAGGGACAGATGTACAAAAATTGCTCTTGCCCAACCAATAAGGGTCAACTGCTAAAAAAAATGCAGTTTGGAACCCCATCAAAGTGGTGAATGAAAAAGAGAAAAAAAACTAGTAAGAAAAAGGGGTTACAACGAATGAAATGAAATGGAAAGAGCACCCGATACCAAGAGTCCTTTGTTGTTGTGTTGTGTGAGTCTTTTCATCCATGAAGTGTCTATTCTAGGTCTACCACTTCGCATGATCCTGACATCAGGAAATAAGGGATGTCTTAGAAAACTGGTTGACCTCGTACGCTGCTAAATGACTAGACGATCAAAGATGGAGAGCATACACCTTTGGAATGTGGCGAGGGCGTTGCAAAGCCCGAAAGGAATCCGCCGGTAGGAAAATGTGCCGAAAGGGCAAGTGAAGGTGGTCTATGTTTGGTCTTCTGGTGCTATTGGAATCTGAAAATACCCGGACATCCCATCTAGGAAATAGTAAAACTCGTGCCCCGCCAATCTCTCGAGGATCTGGTCAATAAATGGCAAAGGAAAATGATCCTTCCTTGTGGCGTCGTTGAGGCGATGATAGTCGATGCAAATGCGATAACCATTCACCGTTCTCATCACAATGACCTCATTCTTCTCATTTGGGACCACAGTCATCCCGCCCTGCTTAAGCACCACCTGAGTGGGACTGACCCACTCATTGTTAGAAATGGAAAAGATGATTCACGCTTCCATCAAATTGATAATCTCTGCTCTCACCACGACTTCCAAATTTGGTATCAATCTCCTGTGGGGTTGTCTCACCGGCCAAATCTCATCCTCCATAAGGATCCGGTGGGAACAGAAAGAAGGGCTGATTCCTCGGATATCAGTGATCTTCCATGCCAGAGCTCGCTCATATTGATTTAGGAGGGCCACCAGTCTGGTCTTTTACTCAGAGTGTGAGGATCGAGCTGATTATAACGGGAACCTTGTTCCCCTCACTGAGAAATGCATACTCCAAGTGAGGAGGGAGGGGCTTCAACTCCAGTTATGGTGGCTCGTCTAAAGAAGTGGTGATACAGGTCGAGGATTAGATTGGCTTTAACGGCTTCTCAAACTCCAAGAACTCGCCACGTTATAGCACTGCCAACTACTCCTCCAGCTGCTGCTCCTGTTATGCATACTCACCTAGCAAAATACAACGCTCAAGGACATCATCAGTACCCGCACTCGTGATGGCGAGTGCGGTTTCAAAATCAGTACTAATGTCACAGTAATCCAAGTCATCATGCATGTGGGAATGCTTTGCATTGTAAGACACAGAAATGTAGCTTGTTCATCCCCAGCCCTCAAAATTAAATTGCCACTATGCACATCAATCAACGCTTTGGCGGTGGAGAGAAATGGTCTACAGAAAATCAAAGGCACATCCACATCTTCATTTATGTCGAAGATAACAAAATCAACAGGATATGTGAATGCACGCAAATTAACAAGCAAGTCCTCAATGATACCCCTAGGATGGATAATCGATTGATCGGCTAAGTATTGGTTCTGGGTTCACCTAGGTCTAGCTTCTTAAACAATTTATAGGACATGACATTAATGCTAGCACCTAGGTCCGCCAAGGACTTTCCTACAAGCATGCTGCCAATAACAAAAGGGATAGTAAAACTCCATGGGTCTTTCCGCTTCTCGGACAACTTGTTCTGCAAGATTGCAGAACACTCCTCACTGAGCATCGCTGTCGACAAATCACTAAGTTTCTTCTTATTGGTAAGGAGATCCTTCATGAATTTTGTGTACTTGGGCATCTTCGACAGTGCCTCCACGAACGGTATGCTGATGTTGATTTGCTTGAACATTCCCATGAACTTGGCAAACTCAATCTCCATATTGTCCTTGTGCATACGAGTGGGCAAAGGAAGCTAGGGAACATGCTTCTTAACCACTGGCTGTGGTTTGGGAGCATGTGCTTCCTTCTCAATCTCCACTTCCTCGTCATCGGGTGGAACTACTGAAATAGGTCTCGATTCATCCTGCCTAACCGAAGAAGGAATTGCATCCGTTGTCTTCCCACTTCTTGTAGTAATGGCATTCAAGTTTAGGTAACCAGAGCGTGGAGCGAGAGCGTCAATTTTTCGAGAATTCATTCTTGAGAGCGTAAAGAGAGCGTTAATATTATGTTATTTTTATTAGTTGTTTATCATTTTCTTACATAAAATATGATAATATTACCACATTGACTAAAATTAGAGGTTGTAATTTATGACTATTTAGGTAAAATGAATGTTCCTTGTTCATTATTTGGCACCACCACCAATTCAATTGATTAAATTAGATAATTTATTCACAACAACTCTCTCGTTTAGCGAGAGTTTCGGATAGAACCTCTGATTAGGTTTTTTCGACGACTACTAGGGTTTCCGTGGCTTTTTCGATTACAGAGACATCGATATCTAGTTTGTTATTGATTGATTACGAGTGAGATTTTCCCTAGCCTTTTCTAAGCTTAAGGGGTATCGTCAAAAAGTTTTGGAAACCCTAAGCAAGCCTTCTGCGGTTTAGGGTAAGGGAGTGGTAGTTCGTAGCAATGCCCCCGAGTGTTTTGCTATTGGCAGGTATGGAATAAGAGGCTGAGAAGGAGGCTGTGATTATTCAGAGAAACAAACCGGATCTGACAGAACGAACAATGCAGGAAGCAGACAGACAAAAGATGCAACCACAACCACCACCGACTGGTTTGATTATAGATAAGGCGATGCGGAAGAGAAGGACACTCAGTTTTCAGAAGAGCTTGAAACACATATAAAAAGCATAAGCTTGGGAGTTGATGATGATGAGGACGTGTGGGAGGTGGAAGAAGCGGAAGAGAAGAACACTCAGTTTTCAGAAGAGCTGGTGGTAAGACTGTTAACAGATAAGAAGCATAACATCAAATAGATGAAAATAACACTGTCAAAGGAATGGAATCTAAGGCAAAAATTTCCATATATCTCACAAGGGTGACTAGATTTATGGATTTCAATTCCTTGATAAACAAGATAGAGAGTAAGTTCTCTTAGATGGACCTTGGCACTATGAAAACAACTTAATGATTTTCAAGGCGGCAAATGCGTTTCATAAACCAAAAGTGGAAGATTTCTATACAATGGATATCTGGTTTCGTGTATTCGGCTTACATGATGCACTGAAGACTACTGAGATGGCACACAAGATAGGAGAGAGTCTTGGCTCCTTGATATGGGTTGACTCGAGAGTGGATACTCTTCGTGAGGACTTCCTGCGCATAAGAATTGGGAAGGTTATAAGAACCCCTTTGAAAAAAGAACTGAAGCTGAAGGTACAAGGTGAGGTAATAAAGTTCTCGGTAAAGTATGAAAAGTTACCAATGTTCTGCTACACTTGTGGCATTGTGGGCCACCCCAAAGCTTACTATACCTCCAAACTTGAGCTGGAAGAGGATCCTTATGGACCAGACTTGCGTCTGGGAGCATCTCAAAGAAAAACCTGGAAATCAAAACAAGACAAAAAAAAAAAGATGAGTTATGGATGGCACTCAGGGTAAAATTTGACAGAGAAACAAAAACAGAAAGGATGAGATTGGAGGCACTCGAATATCTAGATTAGATGGAAAGAATAAAGGCACTTCAAGAGCAGGAAGATCAACATATATAGTAGCAAGAAACTTGTCTTTGAGAAGCAGAGGCAGATTTATGGGGTCTCAGAATATGAGAAGTATCCGTCGGAAACATACAAAGGGTCGGCAGAGGAAGCCTGGAACCAAAGAGAAGCCACTCGAAAAGAAAAGATGGTGCAGGAAACACAATCTAAAGTGCAGAATCCAAACCTATTAACTAACAAAGAAGCAGATAGCCTCGCTAAAATGGTGAATGCATTCCCGGTGGATCATGACTCACAAAGAACAGGACATTTGGTGTTCAATATGGGAATAGGGGATGAAAAGGAAGCTAAAAAGAAACAAAAGTGATGGCAACGACACCATTCATAAAAAAGCCAACAACAAAAATAAGAAACGCTTCAACTTACACCTCGGAAGAGGAGCTTAGTTGTGAAAGAATCTGAGGGGCAGGAGAGTAACAATCCTAAACATCTAGTGGATGGGGAATTACATAACAAGGCTAGAATCTCTAGTATTATAAATTTGCAGAGTCAAGAGGTATGCCAACAGAAGAATTCCTAAAACCCTTCACAGGTAGAAACAACAACATCAGAACCAAAATCGGATGGCGGAGTGGCGGACCTTGTGTCTTCACAAGGGTGCCCATCCCAATGAGTATATTAAGCTACAAATGCCGAGGTTTGGGTAGTCCCTTGGCAGTTAAGAAGTTGGGAAGGCTAATTCAATGAGAAAACCCCATGTTGGTCTTCATTATCGAAACCAAGAAGAAGGAAACTAAATGGAAAGGGATCATGCAGGAGCTGGGATGGAAGAAAGGAAAGGGAGTGGGTTCTAATGGCAGAGATGGTGGCTTGCTGGCTATGTGGAAGGAAGAGCTTGAGGTCGAAGTGATGTCTCTATCACTTAACCATATAGACTTGAAAATCAAAGAAGGTGACGTACAGTGGCAATTCACAGGATTTTATGGCTGGCCTGAGCAGAGCAACAAAGAAAAAACATGGCAGCTGATAAGGGATTTACATGAACAAACTCAGGACAGGATCCCATGGTTATTAACTGGGAATTTAATCTGATACACTCATATGAAGAAAAGTATGGACTAAATGCGGCTGATACAAGAGAAATGTGGCGGCAAAACTGGATATAGCAAAGGCGTACGATAGGATTGAATGGCCTTTTTGGAGGCAATAATGCGAAAGTTGGGATTTGCAGATCGATGGGTCAACCTAATTATGCACTGTGTTACTACAGTATTCTATTAAGCACTTATTAACGGTCACCACTCAGAGACATTCTTCCCGTAAAGAGGACTTAAGCAAGCGGATCCGATTTCGCCCTATTTGTTTTTCTTAAATGTAGAAGGCTTATCAGGTCTAATCAAGAAGTCTAAAAGGGAAGGTTTACTACAGGGTCTAAGGGTAAGGAAGGAGGCTGCCGCTGTTTCACAACTTCTGTTCGCTGATGACAATATTTGTTTCATCCAAGCTACCACTGCTTCCTGTTTGAAATTGAAACACATACTACAACTCTATGAAACTGAGTCTGGACAGCAAGCTAACCTCAACAAATGAGAACTGTCCTTCACGCCTAACATAAACAATGTGAGGCAAGAAGAGTTGGCTCGAATTCTGGGAATGAAGAAGGTCACCTATCTTGAGAAATATTTCGGGCTTCCAACTACGATGGGAAGAGAAAAGAAGACCGTTTTAGCTATCTTGTAGACAGAGTTCGAAAGAAGGTCAAGCTTTGGAAAGAAAGGTTACTATCAAATGTGGAAAGAGATATTCTAATTAAGGCAGTGGCACAAGCTCAGACAACTTATGCTATGTCAGTTTTTCAGATTCCTAAAGAACGTTAGATGAGATCCAAAGCCTACTATCTAACTTCTGATGGGGACAACAACAAAATGAAAGACGGACACATTGGAAAAGTTGGAAGGAGTTGTGTCGGCCCAAGAAAGAATGTGGTATGGGGTTTAAAGAAATGGAAGGTTTTAATTTGGCACTACTTGGAAAACCGGTCTAGAATCTAATTAAGAAACCAAATTCGTTGGCTGTAAGAGTTTTAAAATCCAAATACTATCCGCACTGTGACATTTTGGAAGCTAAGGAGGGCTATTCTCCGAGTTACATATGTAAAAGCATAATGGCAGCAAAGGAATTGGTCAGTAAAGGAATCAGGTGGAAGGTTGGAGATGGTTCAAATATTAAAATGTGGGATGACCAGTGGTTAATGGGAGATAAGAAGGAGTTTCTAACCTCGACCAGAACAACACAGTCACCTGTTCTAGTTCAAGAGTTCATGGATGTTGACAATTGAGAGTGGAATTCTGCATCTCTACAAAGTCATTTCAACAATATTGACAGGGAACGCATCTCTCAAAATCCTATACCTAGACAGCCAGCCCGGGATACAAAAGTATGACGAATGGAAAGGAACTGGAACCAAATATGGTGTCTGAATATACCACCAAAAGTTTGAATTTTTGCGTGGAGGTGGATTAACAGCAACATCCAGATAGCAGGAAGCATTATAGATCGCAATACAAGAGGAACTGAGGATTGCCCTTTCTGTGGTTTGAAGGAGACCCAACTACATATTTTCCGAGATTGTGGTTGGGTAAGAAGGGTTTGGCAACCTACGGAACTAAGACATCTATTTATTGAGGGAGAGGATCTAACCTGCGAAGACTGGATTTGTAAGCTGCAAGAACTGGAATCTGAGGAAGCCATTGAGAAATTTCAGGCCGCGATCTGGTTTATCTGGGAAGAACAAAATTTCCATCCCTTGAATAAAACAAAGAAAGAGGAATAGGAAATCATCGATAGAGCTATCCAGTGGCTATCAGAATACAGAAGACTACAATTAGAACCAAATACCTCACGCATGCAGAGGCCGGTCATATGGGAGCTGCCAATAAGAGGGCTCTACAAGATCAACGTTGATGCAACAACGTTTAATGGTAGTGGGTCGGGTATTGGAGCGATTATAAAAAATGAGAAAGATAATTTCTGCCTAGCAGGGGTGAAGAGAACGAGACGACCTTGGCGGCCGGACTTAGCAGAGGTGGAGGCGGTGAAGTTTTGTTTGGAGTTGGCTCGACGGTTTCATTTCCTCCCTAGGATCATTGAGTCGGACTATCTGTTGCTTATCCAGGGATTGGGAAAGGAAAATGGTGGTGAGTAAGAGTTGGACGATGTGTGCGGTGAGATTAAGAATGATACAAACTAAAAAAGCTCTCTAATATTTCCACATACATCTCTATATACTAAAGCTAAAAGTTAAAGAAACGACATTGTATCGTTTTCAATGATTTCTTTAAAGAAAACAGAAATTCGTGTCTCTTTGCATGTCTCCCCAGTAGCTAGTGTGCCATTCACCTCTGTTCTGGCTTTTTTTGTGGCTCTCTCTTCCCTTTCCTCCACTGCCACGACTTTTTTTGCTCTCAATTTTCCTTCCTTTGCTGCCACCATAGATCCATCTCTCCCCAATTAATTGTGGTGCCTCAAGATACCTCAACTTCCATCCTATATCTCCCTTCCCTCCCTTCTCGTTGGCCTATCCAGCCCTTTAGCCCACTTAACATCCCTTCCACGATGCCGCATATGTTCCTCCGCCACGGATCTTTGCCTGAGTCGTCGTCTTAATCGGAGCTCTCAACTATTATCCTTGCCTGACTCCCTCCAAGAAATTTAGGGAGAGATAGAAGCATTGTTTCTATTCTTGGCCAGTACCGGTGGCTCATATATATGATTTGGTAGATCGATCAACCGGTGAATCCTAAAAATGCAGTCCAAAACCTCTGACACTTTAATAGATGCATAGGAATGACAACAATAATTCGCGGGGGTAAGTATTTGTCTTCTTCCCCCTACCAATGAAATCCAAAAATGATTGTATATCAGTGGTACAATAAGGCTCGGCGAGATCAGCGCTCTCCCTCAACAATTCGCACTCTGAAAATATATAATTCGCGAATTTTGTGCGCTTGTCCATAATTCGCGTTTTCACGGATTAGTGCAGAAGCGCCGGGCCATTGGGGACGAATTGGGTAACCTAAATCCAGATGCTGGTGAGGCTCTCTAGGATTTGGGATGGGGTTGGCAATTAGAGTACCCGACACTCTAGTGGCGTTGTTTCGGGCTATGCCTCCAATCTAGTTCTGGTGGTCCTGTAGAATATCATTATGGTTCCTCTAACCTGCCTCCAGTTCATTTAATTTCCCTAAGGAAAATCCAAGAACTGGTCCATCTTGGCTAACTTTTGAGTATTTTTACTCACGAAGGTCGTCACCAAATTTTGGAGCTCGGATATTTGGTCACCCTGTGCTAGGGAAGCTTTCGGCTGCTAAATTTGCCGATGTTGTGGCTGAAAAGGTTGCCCCTTTTCTCGGATGGAATGACTATTGTTGTTGGAATTGACCAGGTCGGTTCTAGTGCTGCTGCCTCTAGGGAAAGCCACCAATCAGTGCTGCTAAACTAGGAGGCTTGGTGTTGCTGTTGTTGATACCACCCTAGGAGAAGTTTGGGTTTTGGCACCACCCCTAGTTATAAGTACCGTTGTAGGGTTCGAGGCGCTGAGCATTGGCAATGAAGTCCAACTGCTCCTGTGGTGTGGCGGACTCACGCATGGGCTAACGTTCCTCCATGAAATAGTTGGAGCTTTGGCACCACTACCACTGAGCCATTGGAGGCGCCGCTAGGCCTCTACCTGATATGAGGCTATTGGGCTGCTTCAATGTCTGAACCTGCTCTACCACTTCTCGTTGAAGCCCTGTTATGGTCTCCACGACATGCACACCTCTATCCCTCGAACTCCTGCCTCTTGTGGTCTGCCCCCAAGACTGATCCCGGGAGGCCAAAGTATCGATCATCTGGTTCAACTCTGGTGGAGTCTTGGTGAGAATGTCTCCACCCGGGCACAAAGACTTGATCAGCCACTAACTCTCTAGGGACAAGGCACTGTAGAAGTTCCCCATGATGAATGCATCACTAAAGCCGTGGTGGGACATTTCGAGAACAGTCCAGAACACCGTTCCCAAGCGTCTCGCAAGGACTCAGCATCTTCCTGGCAGAAATGGGTTATCTCCCGCTGAACCTCTGAGGTCTTCGAGAGCAGATTGTATCAGTGCACGAATTTGTTAGCTAGATCATCCCAAGAAGTGATGGACAGTGTCGGTTGAGTTTCTAACCAACTCTTTGCATGCCCCGCCAAAGTGTGGGGGAAGAGGTGAAGGAGGATCGAATCATCTGGGACACTGTTCATCTTAAAATCGTTGGTCAGCTAGAAGAACCGAGCAAGGTGCACCCTCACATCTTCATCCTTGAGCTCATGAAACCGAATGTAGATCGTGATCAACTGGATCCAACAGGGCTTATTCTCAAATTTGTTAGCAGGTACGGGCAGATACTCGATGACTGAGCGAATATCAGCGAGCCGTGGAGTGTAGAAGTATCCATGGTGTGCTCCGACAGACGTGGCTGTTGGTTGGCAGCGTCTGCCTGTAGATTGCAATTGTTAGGCAGAACGTGATTCCCTGGGGGAATCTGGAGAGGCATCCCCAAATGAGGTTGCTCCTGGTTTAGAGGTGGATTCTGTCTCATGTCCAGGTTGTTCATCCTGATGTGTTCATCTCCCATGTCCTCCTCCTGCTCGAAATTGTTGTTGATTCGGCTATATACTTGATGTTCCAGTCTCGCTCGTAGTGCTTTCTTAAACTGACGACAAGTCCGTTCAAGTTCCTGCTCCAACAGTAATCCTAGATGTGATAACTACTCCGTGAAGTTCTCGTTATTCAACAGTTTAAACGTAGTGAAGTTGTAATTACTCTAGGTAAACACAAAGCAGTAAAGTTGTGGTTCAAGTTCGAGAGAGGTTCTTATTCAATATGAAGTCAAATAGTAATTCGCCAAGTTCAAATACAATGATAGTTATAATGTGGAAGGTTCTTATTCAGTATGAAGTCTCGACTAAAGGTCTTTAGACCCTCCTAGTCTAAATACCTAGTGGGCGACTAACCTCCATCAGAGTAAACGAACTGAGACCATAACGTTCAAAACCTCCTCTACTGGATCAAATCTAGTATAGAGTCATAAATTGAATTCTCGAAGAAAGTAGTCAATTCACCACCTCTAATCAAGGGTGCTCTATCAACCTATGCAGATATTCTCTTTCTAGGTCAAAGTAGAAACTATAAGAATGTGATCAAGACTCATGCAATTATGAAATCATGCCTCAATTGACCTTTCCTCAAGACCTATCCGGAAAGTTAGACAAGTTTTTGTTTAGAATTTTTATAGGAAGACCAAAGATCGCGTGCCTCGAGTAGTTCTTCACGTCCGCGTTCTTCACCTTTTTATCCTGCGAACTTCCCCTTGTCGCTAAAGATCACGCCCTGTAGCATAACGATCTCGGCCAAGATCTTTCCCCCTATCATGCGATCTTGACCGCGTCTATAAAAGGACTATAGCGGGAGCTGCTTGGGCCAAAACTTTCTTATCCCCAATTCTCTCAATTTTCCTGACCTAGAACTCGAGTTTGGAGACGGGAACTCGAATTTTCATCTCCGAACTCCGATTCCTTCATTTCTTATTCATCTAGTTCCCGTTTTGAGCTTCTCAGCATGTTTGCAAGTAGCTAAAGGTAAGATTCAGACCATTCCGTCTATTTTTCATCTTTTGGGTGTCGAATTAGAGAAGTGGAAGAACTCGAGTTCTTGCTCCAATTTTGAGGAAATGGGGGTTGTTCCTTGGATTGCTTGATGAATGAGAATCAATGTACGCTTGGTTTGGATATGGTGCGTGGATTCGGAGGCCTTGGTGGGTACATGCTTGTGACTGAAGGATTTGGATTTTGAAAATTCTGCCCACCAAGACCTTGATAATTTCCCCGAACCACATTTCCTTTTTCGAAATTCCTTGATTGCATACTTGATTCTTAGCTTGAATGCTGCTATTTCAAATCCAAGTTAGCTCGAGAAACCTCGATTATAGTTTTGGTAACTAGTTCTTGAGCATAATTTCCTCGACTCTGCAGATTGAGAACATGTTTCCATGCATTATTTGTGCGCACTTTCATCTCACTTGGGACTCAATTTATGTTCATTTCAAACTGTAGATGACTTCATTTTAACATATACTAAGATTCTACATTTCTACTTTTCCCTGTTTTAGCCCAGAAATGGACTTTTGACCCCCCCCCCCATCTTTCGCCTTTGAGCACATTGTTTCTGCCAAGTGCGGGGGAAGAAATCATTGTGTTCAGAACTTGTTTTGCTACTTTGAATGGAATTTACTATGGATTTTCAGGAGGACTGACAAGGGCAAAAGGATTGACAGAAGGGAGGGCTTTGATCCTCCAGAGAGACGGGACCCCTTTTCAGGCTTTATTAAGTATTTTCGCAGGAATCGCCATAGGGACGGAAGGGTACTCCAATTGACACAACCCTGAGACAAGGGGAGCCTCAATATCATTCATATCCCAAACCTCAAGTAGAGGAGGTGGTTTAGCAGCTACTCCAACATCCCTAGAGGAGGGCACCGAGGGCAGTAATGCCCCATGTGGACCATCTGTTCCTCGGGGAAATCCCATTCCTCTCTAGAGAACTTCTCCAGCGGTTCTAGGGGATGGCTACAGGGGAGAGAGAGTTCCTTGATTGGGTACTCTTGCTCAGTTAGGAGTGGCAGACCAGATCACTGATATGATCAGAGACCCGGTGTGGCTCAAGGTTTTGGAAATCAATGAGAGGATTTACAAAGTTCTCACTCTGGATTTCCTATGTACCCTGCGTACCAGGATTGTCAAGGGGTTGCAATAGAGGACAGTACTAAGGTTACATAGAGGGGCAAATATAGACATTCCTAGCATTGGACTATTTCTTTGAAAAAAATAAAACAACTAAATAAATATCTTAATAACTACACATCTAATCTAAACATAAGAGTTTCAAAAAGAGGAGAGATATGCAAACCGATGTTGGGGGCGTCTCCCAACTAGCGTGTCTTTTTGGT